GAGTATGCAATAGCATAGACATCCGTCAACAAATCAGCCTCGACTTCCGGGAAAGTAGATTGAGGAGCGAGCTCGAGAAGTAGAGCCAGAAGAGAAAAGGCTTGAGAAAGTAGAGGGATGTCGCTCGTCTTCAGATAGTTCTTGATCTGGGGAACCAGGATAGAGGGCAGACCGGATGGAATTCCAGACGAGTAACTGCGCAGGAGGACATCGAGACTCTGGAAGATTTCGGCCTTTCCAGCTCGTCCACCGCGTTTGAGCAGACCGATGGCCCAATCAACGCATCCGTTAACCCACTGATCTCCCATGGCTGAAGGGACCTCCTTCGCAACACGGGTGACGACCTTGACGGCACCATCTGACTTGGCACCTGGTCGACAGATAGCTTCCCATTCACGGTGGCCTCGGCCTTTGACAACGTCCGTCGCACAGACCCACAGGTCTCCGATCACGACTTCAGCACACGCACGCACTTCCGTATCTGTGTCGTGCGCAGTCAGCCGTGTGACAGCCTGGTCGTAGACAGCTTCAGGCCAGTCCTGGCCCGGCTTGATGGGCTTCACGGCATTCAGCAATGCAGAGAACACCCGGAAGGTCTCGGAAGCAACTCGAGGGTGTCTCTCACCCAGACTTCGAAGCAAACCAGGCGTAATCGTCGGCAGAGTCGTCGCAAACGTGGGTGGAGAGTGTGTGGCAAAAAATAGAGCCAAGAAAGACAGGCACGACAGATGCAGCGTGGACGTTGACGTTGACGGCGGCTGGGACAAGATGCTCTTGGAAGTCGCAATGATCGCTGGGACCTGACTTGAAAGCGAACCCGGAAGTACATCCAACAGCGCATGAAGCAGCGAAAATCCGGCCTGGAGAGTGGCAGGGGGTGTCTTGGCAGATTTGAGCTGAGATAGCAGTGCCTTCGCCATATCCGGCACTTGTGCTCTCAACAGCGAGTAAGGGCCCTCCTCGACATCCATCGTGTCCTGGTTGCGCTTCCGTTTCAAAGACGAATCCTCTTTGCCAGCCTGGGGAAGACCTCCGTAATGCGCCGTCTGATTCAAGAGCACAACATACGTCGCCCAGACCTCCAACCGAACGGTTTCTTCACGATCACCGAATCGAGAGATGAGTACCGGGAAACCTCCTTAAACAAAGCCGGCAAGAGCTCGGGTCGTGTGCCGATAATGGCAGCAAGCAGTTTGGTGGCCGCCCGTCGAATCTTGTAGGAGGTGTCTTCGTCGTCCGAGTATCTGAACAGGATTACCAAGATGGGACTGGTTCTCCAAGACACACTTACTCGTCCATATCATCCGCATCTTCGTCCTCGTCGTCATCAGCGTCAGCCATCTCCTCGTCCTCATCCTCGTCGGCAGCGTAATTCTAGAGCGAGTTCAGCAAAAAGCAAGTGTATCCAACGAATGAAACAGACAGGGTCGTGCTTGATGTATTGCACTCCGCCCTGGATGATAGATGTGACCCAGGCCGTCGTTTCTGATGGACACCGTAGAATCAGTGCTTCGAGCGCCTGACATAGTGAGCGGCGGAACGAGCAAGAAATCATAATTAAACACCTGTAAGGCACCCTCGCGCAGCTCGTCATCATCCCTCTGTAAGGTCTTAAGTAGACCGGGCACAATATCTCCCAGCACAGGTGCTAGCTGTGTAGGCGCCGAGCGCGCAACAGCAGCTATGAGCGTCACGGTTGTACGCTGCTTCTCGAGATTGGCATTCGGCGCAAGGAATGGGAAGACATGGGTGGCAATCAGATCAGAAAATAACTGCGGTTGTGATATGGGTATGAATTGCGCCAGTGTGACGATGGCGCGCTTGCGCACGACGGGCCGCGCATGTGATAATAGTGGTGCGAGCACGACCAGGGGTTGCGGCGATAATGTCGCGCTCGAGAGGTGAGCTGGGAAACGCGATATGAGGATAGAGAGAATGGCTAGTGTCTCTACGAGCGCTTCGGGCGGGGTGTTCGCCTGGTAGAATCATGCCATGAGTGCAAGATGCGGAGAACAGATACCGCACACAAACGTTGGCGATCTGACCCAGGAGTTTGGGCGTCAATTTTGCGCAGGCGCTGGCGGCGATCTTGCCGTCGACGGGTATTTCCGCGGTGATAGTCTTCAGTGCTGAGCGCCCATAAGAGGCGTCATACGCAGGAGTGACGCCGTTATCGGAGAAGCTTACCGAGACCCGAGATATCCCGTAGCTCGTCGTCCTGACCACCAGAGAAGTCGATGAGCTTGTCGACTACGAGCTCCATTTGCCCTTGACGTATAATCTTGATCAATTGTCCTAAACTGATGACACAGCATGAGCCACTCGCGCGACAAGCGGTCAGAGACACATACCACTTCACTGCTTGGTTCTTGACTTCGGATATCTTGTCCTCTACGAGAGCAAGAACCTGATTCAGCACTTTGTTCTCCGTAGCCTCATCTCCAAGGAAAGCGGTCGGATCTTGCTTGATCTCATTCATCAGATCGTTCAGCCCCATGAATCTGGGCAGACTAGATTAAAATGGCTTCTCGTAGAAGCGAGCAGGGCACACGTACCGAAAATCTTGGTCAGGCGACTGCATCTACGCCCACCAGTCGAGTTCAACACAGCTGCGATTGCGGAAAGAGCATCGTCACCAACCTTCTCAATGAGACTCGTCATGAGGTAGGCCTTCGTCATCGTGGGCCAGCAGTCAAGGTCTCAAACGTTCGCGCGAGTGGTAAGTAATTGAAAGATGGGATAGAAGCGGGCGCGTTATTTGGACCCCGCAAACACCGCTTGACTTGTAGCATCGCCACCGATCCCCTTGTACCTTTCACGCTTTACGTTTCCCACTCAATACGCCTCGAAGTACGGGAGGGCCTCATGTCGCTGGACGTCGCGGTCGCACTAGTGGTCGACTCCTCGCATGTGCTCGCGTCGGAATGGCCGTTCATCTTGTCTGGGTACATCTTCAACATGTTGCGGCGGATCGGCGAAGCAAGCCCCAAATGCAAGGTGCTTAGCCCGGTACCCCGCAGATGTCGAAACCGCTGACGCTCGTCTTGCCTTGCAAGTTTCGAGTCGCCTTCATCTCGTACGGCACACAGGAGGACGATCTCAACCAGCGTTTCTTCGAGGATTTCAGAGCGCTCTCGACGACCCTGGGTGACGTATCGAAGATGAACCTCGGGGGGAGTTCGTCAGGTGGAGGGAACGGGCTCGCTGCATTGGATGGTCTCGTCGCTGCGATCGAGGTGTGCCTCGCCCAGCTCCGGAGCCGCTCAGATTCTGACCTCGCACGCGCGCGGTGTCCTAGCTCTTCGACGATTATGCGCGCCAATCTCAAAACTCAGCTGCTCATCATATATTTCACGTCGCCGCGGTCAAACCCGATCATTCCACGCATCCACAACGAAATCGGTCTCCTGAGTTGGACAGCCTCACCTGGGGTACTCTGCCTAGCGAACTAAAGAAGGTACGGCCGACCTCAAAGGTTGTGCAAGCGTCTCATTGTTACCAGCGCCACATCAACTTCAGCTCCATCTGTCTTAAGAAGGGATTCGACAAGTTTGGGGAGCTGCACACTGCAAGTTTCGATGCCTACCGCCTAACACATGAGCTCATTTCTATCAGACTGCTGCCGAGTCCCCTGTGCAACCATGGTTTCCTGTGCGCACGGGTCACACGGTTCTATTGTCGGGATATCCGGCTATGCAAGCATCCGTTCCCAAGGGTGTGTTGATAAACCTAGGATGCATCCTATGCCTAACTTGAACAAGTCACAGGCATCAAACGCGCCGCCGCTGAGCCTGCTTCCATGCCCGAAACGAAACGTCCTAAAGCCAATCCCCCAGTTCCACAAGTGTCGCCACCGAAGAACATCAACGCATCGCCGGTCCCAGTGCCGATGACAGCGCCACCCACAGCTCTACGGATGAATGCGCCGGTTGGGCCTCCAGCGGTGCCAGTGGGCGCCGCAGCTCAAGGGCCGGCCGGATTGGGACCGGGTGCGCCGCTCATGCAGTCCGGGGTACCGGGATTGCCACCGTTATCACCACAGCGATTGCAGCAGCTGCAGACATTCATACGCACATGCGAGCAACAAATCCGGACCATGGAACTGTCGGCGAGCGAAGCCTTGGCCAGGGGCGACCGTGCCGCGGCGGAGGAGATCATGGCCCAGGTTGCGGAGAAAAAGAAGTCGTTGCAGCAACTTATGCAGAAGATTGTGCATAACATGAACCAGAATCGGTTGCAAGTTGCGCGCTCTATGCCACCGAATGGACCCGCCGCGCCGGCCCCGCCTATGAATCCGCAGCAGCCGATGGCAGCGGAGGAGGGGGGCGACTTTCAGATGCTCGGGCCCGACGCCAAGAACGCGTCGCCGGCGGCAGCCATGTCGGCGATGTCCGGCCACATGCGCTCTGCGAGCAATGGGCGGAACATGCCGCCGATGAACGCAGGGGCGGCGACCATGATGGGCAACGCGCCTGGCCCCACGAACCTAACGCAACAGATGCAGAAATTGATGGAGCAGAAAGACCGAGCGCAGCAGACTGGCATGCAGCCGGGTCCTGCGGGCCCTAACCCGTCACAGCCGCCGCCGCCCCCACCGCAACATGTACCGGTCTGGCAAGGCCTAATGACATGGAGCGGACCCAATGCAGCCGGTGTTCCTCGTGAGATCTCGTTATATGTCGTGGCCAAGAGTGGGAATCGGGACACTTGGTGCGTAGACCATGTTTTGTGTCTGCACATCAATGGCTCAGTCCATAATACTCTAGTCACGCCACAACATGGCCCCAAACGCTGAAGCTCAGCATGACAGAGTCTGCCGTCAGTGTGCCCGAACTACAAATGTGGATGAAACGATATAACCCCGTGATCGTCACATTTGCACCCAATCCGCGAGCTTCACAACCGGCTCAAAACGACTTGGGATATAAAGCACTCGTCGCTATCCTCTTGAAACAACAAACAGTCAGTCAGCCGGGTTTTTGCGCACGTGTCCGCGCTAATCTCTTTCCCCCCATCCCACCCAGTTTTTCGTCGCCTCATGGGCGCTCCCAAACAGCAACGGCAAAGAGACGCCCAACGCGCTTTTCTTCCCCTCGCACCAGATTGGGCTGGCTGGACTGTTTTTCCCTCTGACCGGGATTCCCGAGATGCCAAAAACAGTGTCGGGCCATGTCGTGCCTGTGCCACCGCCCCCGGGCCTTCCACCCGCCACGAACGGTCTCGCGACGTCTGCAGCAGCAGCGGCGGCAGCGGCAGCGTCTCCGCAGACACAGCAGATTGCACTGCAGATCCAGCAAATGCTGTCGGCGCGGGGAGTGGCCATCTCCGCTGCTTTTGCGATCCAAGTAGCGTCGTTGCCGGCCCAGCAGCGGGGCGGGTTCATCACCCGGTACGTCGCTCTCGGCGCCGAACAGCGTCGGAAAGCCGCAGCGGCGGCTGCTGCGGCACAGAACGGCGGACAGATGGGTCAGCGCCAGCCACCGCAAGGCGAGAATGCGTTCAACCCCAATCAGTTTGCGATGCAGAATATGGGCCAGAACCAGCTCCTGGCAGTGGGCCAACAGCAGCAACAGCAGCAGTCCATGACGCAGCAGCAGCTGGCCCAGTCCGCTGGAATGGGTCTGGCGATGGGCCAACAACAGCAGCAGCAGCAGCAGCAACAGCCCGGCTATGGGAATGTTAATGTTAACCGGAACCCAGCTTTCGACATGAGCTTCATGCAGTGATAATGATCAGGTCTTGTTTTTATCTCGAGCAGCATACTACATCAATGTACACTAGACATACATAACATACAATTGCATAACATGACATGATCAAACCGGGCGCGAGCTGAGCCCCCCATCCATCCCCTGGATCTTTTCGTGGTCCGCGAGATTGGCTTGGGCTTCGTACACCGTCACCACCGCCTGTCGTTTACGCTGCGGCCGCACCTGGTCAGTGACCCGCGCCAAGGAATCTGTCAGGATTCCTCACGACGCACCTCAGTCCATTGTCCCAGAAAGCCGATGTAGTATATGCGCGTCGCATCTGCTCCTTGGGAGGCCGGGAACAGAAGCGAGATCGATGAGAGGTTAGAAAACTTGGCGGTCCTGGACGCGTTGGGTGAGCAATCAGGGGTATGCGACAGGCATGAGTGTGTGGGCTTGGGGCACCCCGCCGCCCGACCACTTACCGCAGCGCGTATTCTCCCACTTCGCGGCCCTGCGCGACGAGGCACTCCTGCGTGGGCGTCTTGTCGTCCAGGTCGTCAAAGTCCAGATTCGCGTCGTTGGCAAACTGCGGAGAAGAGCGTCGCACGAGCATCGATCACTCGAGGATGCGGCGCACCAGGAGGACTTTCGTCGGCGTCTCGTCCGCCGGGCCCGTCTTCAGCAGGAGGGCGCGCAGCTTGACCGAGTCTGTGAATGGGATGCGGACGATGCTGCACGACAGCGCCATCAGAACCGCGCGCACACACGAACGGCGAAAGGGTCTGACATCTGGTCGTCGGCATCGGATGCGATCGACTGGGGCGCGTGAGAAGCGGGCGTCTCGAGCTGACTCGGGGACGAGGACAACAACCTTTTCCTCGTCTAGTCGCTCGTGCCACGGTTTGATGACGGCGGAGCCGGGGCCGGTGGCGTTCAGCGCGACGACGTTGGCACGCTCGATCTGCGAGAACAGGTTATCTTTGGGGCCCGAGTCTGAGGAGTCGTGGTCGTGGTCATGATCGTGCTCCGTGCTTTCGTGTCCGCAATTCGCGTCGTGGTGATGGTGATCCATGATTGTGGCGAAGAGAGCTGGAAGAGCAGTACAGTTGTGAGGCGGGATCACGTGTCAAAATCGATCATCTATGACGTGCCGCCACATCAGGTCGGGGAAGACCGACGATTAGCACAGCCCTCCATCACGGATTGTTCGAGCTCCCGGTCGATACCAGCCGCCTGATCCTATTGCATTGTCTTCTGGGCGGAGGAAGCACTCTGGACGGCAGTTTCGTTGTGAAATATTTGACGAGACTGGTGAGTCATCGCGGGAATGAGAAGAAGAAGCGGAGGCGGCCTGCTCACGGCATATGCGACTTACTTGAGACCCCAGCCCTGATTGTCGGTTTAACGATACAACGAGCAGCGCACAGAACATATAGGAAGAGACGCTATGAGTCTGCGGTCTCGTCATCGTCGTCCTGAAGTGGGCTGACGCTATGTCGGTGACCATCGATCTGAAAAGTGTAAGCATTATGACTGTCCTAGGGAACACACAATATGAATGACTCAACTGGCGGTCTATTCTGGGGTCTTAAGCAGGGCTTAAAGCCCTTGCTCGACAGTACCTGGCATTACAAACTCCACCTCTCACAGCCCGGCTTTACTCCCCACTCCAACTCTTACCCCGATGGCCCTCACCCACGTCGTCTCCTTCAAATTCAAATCCGCCGTGACAGAAGCTCAGCGCCAGGAAATCTACGAGAGCCAGCTTGCACTTGCCACCCGATGCCTCTCTGCCGCGCCGGAGAGCAAGCCGTACATCCACAGTGTGGTGGGCGGGCCGAATTTGTCTGCCGAAGGGTACGACAAGGGAAACGACGTGCGTACCGGCTGTCGAGTCCCTCCTTTCCCCTGCCGTCCGCTCGGCTGATCGATGCGCGCCGCTGCGTCCAGTTCGCGTTCGTTATGGTATTCAACAGCATGCAAGACTTCAATTACTACGATAAATCTGATCCGGTGCATGGCGCATTCAGGGTACGTGCCGAGCATTGACCGGTGCCCACGGCTTTTGCAAAAGACTGAATATTTGGTTTGCAGACTCGGGTTCTACCCTTGCTGGAGGACGCCTTTGTGTTTGACTTTGTTGCGTAGAGACTATGGACGAAAGACAACTGAATTTTGGGCAATTTATAATAAGAACACCGGAAAGAAATCCCACGTGGCTCCTATGCGGGAACCCTTGCGGAAATATCGAGCTTGAAGGTGTGGATAAGATGAAATTGTCGATGCAAGGTTTCTTAAGCTCTGGTACAATATTCTTGGAGCTTGGAGTTGAGATTTTGCTAGCCTCTTGCATCTACAAAACAAGAAAAGAGGTCGCCTCGAGTTTGTTATCTCAAGATCTCCAAATCACCCAGCTGGCTCGAACTTAGTTCGAAGCGAGCCATCAAAAGTCGAAACTAATCTCGATCGTCATCTGGCAGCTTGTGCCAGTCGGCCTTCAAAAGTTCAAAGCTTCTAGCTTCAAGGCGCCCTATGTCCTCTTAGTTTTTACACGAATTGATCCCAGTCGAAGGATCGCGAAGTTGAACCTTCCGGTCCGAACTGAAAGGCGCATTGCGTGGCTTGTCTCCAGGGGTTTGGATTATCTTCTAGATTGAGTTAGTAGGCTTGGACATACATGCGGCTTTCTAAGCATATGCGGTCGGTTTCAAAACAATAGAAACTCAATCTCAACTTGAACATGTCCATCATACTGTGGCTGTATATCTTCCTTATCGGGAAGGCAGTAGTTCAGTGACGCCCCTGTGCGGCTCGCTTCCACCCCGAGTGACACCAGATCCCATCGGCGGGGAGCACTGTGTTGAATTACCCCGAACATACAAATCTGGTTTATTGATGTATGGGTTACTGTATGCTCCTTATCAAATACACACAGATACGGTACACCAAGTTATATTTCATTCATGCATACTCGGGGTCAACCACGACGACCACCTTGGCATTTGCAGTTCCATCGAATAGACTCAGGAACGCCTTGATTCCATTCTCCATTCCAATAACCAGATCCTCTTCACTCTGCAGCTTCTTCTCAGCCAGGATCGGCGGGATCTCTTGGATGAAACGGCCGTAAAATTCTGCGTCGGGGACTTCGTTGCAGACAAAGCCTTCGATCGTAATCCGGCGCTTGAAGACCATGCTGAGATTCTGCGCATCGTAGGTGCGTCAAACCTGACCATCACAAAACAGGATGGATGAGGTAAAGTACCTTGACTCCATATCGCTGCTCGAACGGTACGTTGTATTCACTCATCGCTCCGCAAATCTGCAGCGATTCAGAAATCAGACCACCACGGTGCTGATCGCCGTTCGCAACGCACCATAATGCGCCCTCTGTGCTGCATGTTCCCGATGGCCGCCTCGAGCTGCTCGCCGCCCACGTTATCCCAATAATAGTCGAGTGGGCCATATTCCTCCAGCGCCGATGCCACCGAGCGCGTCTTGTAGTTGAACGCGACGTCGGCACCGAGCGCGAGGAGATGGTCGACCTTCTGGTCGCTTCCCGCAGAGGCGATCACACGAAGCCTGCGCGTGCGCGAATTGAGTTCCAGCCGAGTGTGCTCAGAAAAGGACGCTCACCCTCTCCTCTTGCACAGCTGGATGACCATGGTTCCTACCGCGGACGCTCCCGATGAGACGTATATCGCCGATCCCTGCTCCAAGTCAGTGGGCACTCGTTTTAGAACCTGGCGACCGCCGCACCTCTTTTGGCTTCAGATACTTCTCGATGCCCTCGAATGCTGTGTATCCCGGAAGGCCCAGCGAGGTGAGGAAGCAGGTCCACGGAAACGCCCCTTGAGGATCCGGCACGGTCCGCAACGGCATCAGAATCTCCATGTTCAGGGTGTACGGCGGGAAGGAGCCCTCTGCGAAGTTGACGCGTGCTACCCTCGCGATTCAGCCAGCCGCTTGCGAGCTTGAGATGCAGTCGACTTGCCGCCGGTGTACGGTTGCACAGTGTACATCTCCCAGGTCGACAATCCAGCCATGTAATCGCCGGCATTCACACCCTCCATCTCGGAGCGCAGCACCACGACCACAGCGTTTCCGACCATACTGGAAGGTAGGCTCAAGCATTAGGCATACACTGGCCAGGGAGGACGGCACTGACGGTTGTCCGAGCACCATCGGGGGCGAGTACAGTTGCACGGCGGGATCGCGGAGCCGCTCTCGCATATACGGTTCCGGGCTGCATCGACTCAGACGGGGAGAAGGGCATCGTGATCGGGCAGGCATGCGAACCTCAGGAGCAGCGTCTTCGTCAGATATCCGCCGTTGAGTGGCGCATCGAGATCGATGACCGCGTCCGTGTCGTAGACGAGGTGCTCTCCTTCGACGGGCAGGCCGTGCCCGGGAACTTTCACGTAGAGGATGCGGTGGTTGGGCGTGGGAGCCATGAGAGGGCTGTGGCAGGGTACGGGAGACGGTACTTTTCAAGGGCTCCACTGGTCACTCGGACCTAGTCCTCACACGGAGACCGGACGCATCTTCTCTTGGAAAGGCGGGGAGATATATCGGCCCGTGATAAGTCATGCCCGGATGACTATGCAGGACTGAAATCAAAGACCACAGAACATCGGGGACACGCTTCGCGTGCGGAAATAAGCCCTAGGTGCGAGAGACCTTATCGGAGGGCACCTCGGTGTGGTAGTATTGACGGTGACCGAGAGTCTGCCGATATGGAATGTAGTGTCTCCGAAGCTGGCGCGGCCATAAGAATGAGGACCGAATCAACGTAGATCGTGACCAAGCATGATGATCATTTCGTACACATGACCGAGTATTATTCACGACTGATTAGATTTATGATGTAGATAAACGTCGTAGGAGAGCACCCTCGGCCGTGACGCCGGGACCAAAAGCCATGCTGACGACCCATTCACGGCCTTCTCCCCGTCTCAAAACATCGAGCACACTGAGAACCGTGACCGAGCTTGTGTTCCCGTGGCTCTCGTAGACGTCCCAGCTCGCCTTCAAATGTTCTCGATCGACGGCCATCGTGTCTTGGACGGCCTTGAGAATGGCCGCTCCTCCCGGATGGACTGCCCAATCGAATTCGCGTGTTCGGCTGTCGGAAGGTGGAGGCAGCGTCGTCAGAGCTGTCGATGCAGCGGGCAGTGTGCTGAACAACGCGTCGTACAGCAAAGGCACGCATTTGCCGGTCAGGGTGGGAATGCGCGGAGAGAGTGTTGGTTTGAAACCTGTCGTAATCACACTCAGTTGCTTTTGAGATGGGTCATCAGAGATTGCGGCGCGCACCAGAAGTGTCAACGTCTATCCTCAGATCAGACTGCGTGTCGGGCACCGTAAGGTGGGCCCAGTTGACAAGCTCATATATTCCCCGTCCAGTGCCGGTCGGGGCAACCGAAAGCACCAACGCAGCGGCCCCGTCGCCGAAGAGCGTGATCCCGATACGCACCTGTTGCTCCTTGGCGATCAGCTCCAGCTCGTCGCGCCGCATCGTGCTCGTGATCTCGCAGGCCACAACCAAGACGTGCGCTGGCTCCCCCCTCCACGCGGCCGACTGACACAGACTCGCCGCAAGCCGCAGAGCCGCGAGACCGCCGGCACATCCGACGCCGCTCAGCAGCACGCGCTCGATGCTAGGGCGGAGCCCGAGCTCCTGCGCGAGTCGCGAGTCAAAGCCGGGGTTGGACACGTCCGTGCATGTCGTAGCGACGACATGCGTGACCTCGGCGGGTGTCAGACCTGCTTCAGTGAGCGCGGCTTGGGCGGCGGCTTTGGACAGCGGAATGCCTTCCCGATTGAAGATCTCGGATACTTCCTTGATGGATGGGGGGTAGGGTAGATCGAGAAGAGGGTAGATGAGGGAATGCGATTTGATTCCGGTGCGACGGTTGATTGAGAGGACCTTATCCAATCTAGACCCGCAGTTCGTCATCCCATGGGAAAGGAAAACAGAAAGAGATAGACCCACGCGGGGGATGCTGGATACCACTTGTACGCCAGTTTATCCAGGTCTTCCGTGAGCGACAAATTCGGCGGGTATTTGACGCCGAATCCAGTAATCAAGAGTGACGAGGGCATAGTTGCGGCGGAGACTCGAGCGAACGGAGTACTCCGCCCGCGCTTTATGCAGACAGTAGCGAGATGATGACACTTGATGGCGGTGGCAGATATCGTATACATTCAGAACATGCATCTCAGCCGGGCATGGCTAGCGGGAAAAGGCGATGGGGCTCGGCTGCTCGGGCATTGTAGCGATCGCAATGTCACAAACATTCAGATGGGTACCAGGGACGGATTGATCCAATCGATCGAGCGAAAGAGAACTGAGCACCAGTACTGGTGCTCCTATTCCAGCGTCGGAAGGCCTTTGGAGTGGCAAGAAGGCATGGCAGGTAATTTCTATAGTCGCCTGGAAAAGGCCCTCAGCACGTTAAACATTATCTTCGGTACCAGCTACCAAGTGCCCATTGGTTCTCGAAGATGGGTCTGGTTGGTTTCAAGAAGCTAAGGACACTGCTGAACTCCGGACAAGACCGGTAGGAGCAACAGGCTGAGGTGGGAGCGCGCTCAGTCACGTCAGGTGTTTGTTATGTGTGATCGGGGTAACGGGTTGAAAGCGGTGTCAGCACGCACTGTCAACATCCTGACTTTGTCCTTGACGACATCTCTATGGCTGACCAATGTCCAAGGCTTCCCCCCGTTGAAGCCATTCTCATGAAACCGTTGGAAGGCGGGTGCAGCATGCCACTCAAACAGATGAAGATGAACAATGGATCACGAGAACATTGCACATTGCCCTGTGTCGTGATGCCGTACTAATTGCGCCCTTTTAAGTAAAGAGCCGCCTCCTGCCCTGATTCTTACTTATCCGCCGTCGCTTACTCTGCTGTGTCTATGGAAGGCCACGGACACAGGCATAGACGCCCCTGGGAAGGGGTGGGCTCCAGGTGAGTCTTGCCTGGGCTCGTTTTGGGCCACATCATGACATGCAACCAAGGACGAGCTCGCTGTTGCCGGTGGCAAGCACCTGGTCTCCCTCAGCTGCGACTCTACGCGAGGACACGGAGTGGGTCGCCCCCGTAGTTCACCACCGGTCAAGGCTGCGGAGGGCCGCCACAACCACCACCTCTCAGCCCAGTCCCAACCAGACGCAGAATCACTTACCACCAGTCCGCTTCGTCTGCGACGTTCCCGAGAACCCACTCTACGCCGCCATTGCCCACGAAACAGTGCTCGAGCAGCCCCGGTCTCCCGACGGGATGGCGCACGAGGTCGCGCATTCCGCGCTTGACTTTACGCACCGCAGGATCGAGTCTGCAGCCCGCCCTCACTCGTCGGCCCTCACGCCCATGTTCGCGTCTTCGTCCCCATGCGCAAATCCGTTCCCTCGACCGCCGAAACCCCCTCCGACCGATTCCCTCCCAGTCTCCGTTTATTTTCCGCACACAGCGCAGCCATCGAATCAGATAATGTGCCTGTCTGTCGAATTAACTGCGACAGTCGAAGACGTGATCTCGGCTGCGCTCTGGACGTACTGCAGGAAGCGTTGGCTTCCGAAGCTCGATCCCGGCAAGGACCAAGACGTCGATGTTGGGTCCTGGATTGTATTGGTGCCGGGGAAAGACGGCGCAGTGAACAAGAGGATCGCCAAAGGTGTGTGCGTGGGACTGGCCAGTGAAATTGACTGGTATTGATTCCTAATGTCAGACAAAATCTGCAAGTTTCGTTTTGCAGCCTATGCAATCGTGCGAGCGCCAAGAGACTATGCGGATAGTGCGTGTTACAATCTTCTCCAGGTCACCGGACTGACTGGTGTGACAGAAAAAGAAATTGAACTTCAATTGGCTCGATTCCGAGCAGTAATGCCTGCATCAGATAGGCGCAGTCCCGTCCCTCCATTTAGTCGCCCTCCTGTGACGACACAGGTCATGGATCACCCTCTATCATATCGGAAGCTTCCCTGTGAGGTCTATCCTATACTCAGCTGGCTGCTTCTCATCTTCTCTCGCAGAACAGAACGACCAGGCCTGGACCTTCACCTGTACAGAATATTAATCAATCATTCCATTTCCTCGATCTCTCTGTACAATACTAATGCCTACACGTGATAGAATACAGCCAGCCATAGATATAATCAGATAATGACACCGTTAGTAGCTGCTGGGGACGCCGCCGATTCGGCCGCCATCGACCAGCCAGACTGCGCCGTTCACGTAAGCTCCTGCAGGACTTGCCAAAAACAAGATGACGCCACCCATTTCCTATGCCGTTGCTGAGGAGACTCTCTCGGATCATGCGCCACTAGACGCACCTTCTCCGTTCCGGCACGTTTCAGGGGGACGCTGTCGATGAACGCCATGGGACCCATGTCGAGCCCAGGAAACAATCCTGTCGTCATTTCTGATCCAGAAAGCCTCAGCATAACAGGACAGGCGCCACAAAACTCCCACTCACCGCTCGGGAACACGCCCGGCGCGAGAACATTGCTGCGGATCCCCCATGGAGCCAGCAGATTGGCCAGCTGTTTGCCGAGGTGTGTGCAGGCTGCCTTCGCGAGGGTGTATGACATGGAGAACACCTTCGAGTCCAGGCGGAAGCCGCCGGAGGACGACACGGACACGACTTGTGAAGAGTGGAGTGGCGGACGGGCGCGGCCGCCAAGAACATGGAGATTCGGATTGTTCTTCCGCAGATTCCCTTGGTGGAGGAGATCTAGGAACGCAACGGTGGAATAGTACACCGAAGTGACGTTCGTGCGGAAGCTTTCGGCAAAGCCCTGCTCGGGAGCTCAGTGACCGTGCTACCTGCTTGGGAAACCTAGAACGACCTCTGGCGACCCACTGTTCCACAAAGATTCCTGGAAGGATCGTATACATGGAGCCCCGTCGACTGGAGTCCCAGGAAAGGACGAGGAGGAGGATTGCGGAGAGCTCTCTCCTGGGGAGGGCAATGGATGATCGTACAGATTGCGTGCGATGCCTGCCCGGCATCAATTTCCGGTTGTGATAAGAACAGATAACCACTCACCGGCATTGTTGACGAGAAGATCGATATACCCGTGTCGAATCTTGACCGTCTCGACGATGTCCAGAAGTGAGCGGCGATCTGTCACATCGCCTTGGATGGGGATTACTCGGTCGTATTTCTGAGAGGGGATATCAGCGCCACGGGCGATGAGGCCGGGAGGATGTCGTGCTTACGCTGATTTCCCGCGCGGTGCTATCAAGCACGTCCAGCCGCCGCCCGATGATGTATACCGTCGCCCCGTTGTTCTCTAAAGCTTGAGCCATCATGCGACCGATACCTGGCATGGAACCTCAGACAGCGGATTTTTGGGAAGGCTAATCTAATCAACGCACCGCTGCCCCCTCCTGTAATCACGGCCACCAGTCCATGCACATCGAAGAGATGCTGTGGGGCAAAAGAGTCCCCGGGTTTGGGCACAGGGTCGGGCGGGCCGGCGTCATCATAGAAGGCCCCGTGGGAGGGTGCTTCCATCGCGCAAGTCGACGAGTCGAAGATGGGTACAGGAGCCAGGGCGGGCAACGGGGAGGGGGGTGGATCTAGGAGTCCGGTGTGTCTCACTTGCTCCGCATATCACCTGCAGTTTTATAAGAACTGGACATCAGATGGTGTGGTTAGCCGACGCTGGGCATGCGTGAACGCGTCTGCCGTTAACTAAGGCAGCCTTAGCCTTTAGCATGTCCGCGATACGTGAACACCAACCGGTCATGCTCACTAGCAGTCGCGTCGAGATGGACTTTTTCGGTCGACCGTCTTCGACGGGCTCGAAAGGGCGCATGCTAGCGACCTCGCCGTTTAGCCTGGCGGTCCGGAACCGCAAACTTAGTCCAGGGCGCTTTCCAAAATAGCCAAGAACAGAACAAAGAGAACCCAGCGGCCAGCGGGACTGCGTCCGCAAACGCTTCGAGCTGATCGCAATGATGGAATCATTTCGTGTGCATGACGTAATCCGTCACATGTTGCGTTCAAGATTCAGCACATTGAACTTGTCAGGTTCCAGAATCCAAGCAGCATTCCGAGTATTGAATTTTCATTGACACGATCGGTCGGAGAAGATTGAGGGCTTGCTTATTTCTATAGCATAGCATGATAGTTATCCATCCCCTGATAAGATTGATAAGTGAAATCCGAAATGATTCGTTCCTTGAATTTGTTCCAGGAAATACTGGACGGGGTCGAGCCAGGTCCGATCCAGATCGGCGGAATACTGGTTATATCCATCCAGTTGGATCGGGTTTTGAGCTTCCCCGCCCAGTTGAAGGCTAATTACAACGGATCAAAAGAACAGTAGACTTGCATAGGAGGTGTACGAATCTGATGCCGTAGATGCCCGAAGCCAGCTTCCCGCTCAGAATGACACTCACACTGCGGCACAACTCGCTTAGGATAACGGACAGAAGATGCTCTTTGTTGTGTGTTACTTGTCTTCGGGACACATGCGTAGATTCTAGTCGCTCTTGGATTGCGCATAGGTTTCCTCGAGTCTACGCTTGACGTATTCGCCCGCGCTGACGACCGGGTAGCGAGCAGGTCGATCCTCAGTCACGCATCCGGGCAAAGGCTAGCCAATTATTCAGCACAATTTTGTTGCGGAAAGAGGCAGCCCACCTCGAGCAGTACATCGTAGTCCGTGCCGAAGAATAAGGGCATCGAGTACCGTTCCAGTCCAGACCGATTCGTGACCCGATGGCGAGTCGACTTGAAGATATCATCTTTCAAAGTTTCGACGTTTAGACTGGACGGAGGAAAAAGAACATTTACGCACTTGTCCATCGTGCAAATTGATCGCCTAAACTGTGGAATCATGAGTGATCAACTAAATAAAGACGGGGAAAGCGCTCTACTTGATCACAAATGTTCCAGGGATGGGGACAGCGTCAATCCAGTCACCCTTGGCATTCTGAACTTGCAATCCGCCGACGGTGTCTTGCCAAAGAATCGTAAAACACTGGACACGAGGTGAGCTAATTTCGAACATTGGACCTAGCATAAAATGTTTACTTCATAGCTGGCTAAAATTCAGACGACAGATTTCTAGGTTGGAATAGCGCAATGACGCACTCTGTATGGGCTCCAATCCCGATGATCTTGCCGTCCTGGTCAACGGCAGCCTTCTGCGGTGGGTAGTGCAAGAGGCGCATGATTGCAGCAGGGCGAGTAGTCTGTAATCCTTCGATTTTAGAAAACTACGCAGAGAAAGCAATAGAAAAAGAAAGGACCTTATCATCGAAGAAAGTTTCAGGCAAATCAAGGGCGAGCGCGAATAGCGGGAACAATGATTGTCCGAGGTCGACCACAGCGCGACTGCGCAACAATCCCGATGAAGCAGTAGTCTCAACAGGAAATAGTCGGCTCACTAATAGCTTAGCACGCAGTTCCGGAAGCCAGGAGCAGAGTCCTCGGACGGCCACACATTGGTTCCCGACATTGGACCAGCGCCGGGCTCTTCCCAACCCAAATCGAAGCCTTCATGAAGGTCGCCGCGCCCGTTGGGGTCAGTATTCTCGCCTGAGCCGCGTCGCGATTTTAGCAAAGAACCGAAGGGATGGATCTGACACACCGAGGAGAGCGGTGTAGCCTTTGAAGTTCGCGCTCTTGTGAATGTCGATCTAGCGGAGTTCATTCCCGACCCGGACACACATGCGGAGGGGTGCTTACCGCAAGCTTGTCGGCTTCTGGGAGCGCAAAGAACTGCTTTCCGGCTTGGATGGTCGCGTCGATTGTGCTATCTGAGATCGGGTGGTGCTTGACGTAGAAAAAGCCGACTAGGAGCTGGGTTATATATAGACTGATTGGAGTGCGCTGCATGCGTGGAGTCACCGTTGATGCATGCGTCCCGAATCTCGTCGGCGAGAGCGCGGCGCTTGGCAGGATCGGGGCTCTGAGCGTGGGTGAAATCTCTGTTGGTGGCGACGGTCAGACTCGAGTTCTTGGGTGTCGTCACGGGGAGGCTAACATGACTGGAATCTCCTCAAATGTGCTATCCGTCCTGTCGAGGGCAAAGCCGCTGAAGGACATGGTGAAGGAAAAGTGACGGTCTTCCGCGACGGTGAAAGAACCAGAGCCTAGTGTCTGGAGAGCTGCAAAAGGACTCCGATCATCGTTATCGGATCACGCTGCTCTTCAGGGGTAATCAGATTAGGTGTGGCACTTAGCTCATCGCGGTCGCGTGACTGTGCTTAGTAGTAGTCGAACACGCGCCGGAAAAAGAGGTCCTCTTTTCACATCCCAAGATCCGTGGCAGAGGCAGGCGTTTCATACACCGGTTCTCCTAAAGTACACATCAATGGGGCGGTCCAACTGCGGGGAGCGCCTGAAACAGCAGCAAATGGTCCACTGATGTCGCCGAAATGGCCCGGCCAAGGCTATTGGCATGTTGAGAAGTGAAGCTGAGGAAATCAAGAAGACTTGGAGTAAAAAAAAAACGTGGCGATGCATCCCGCGCGCATTCGCCGGCACCGGTCGTCTTCGAACGCAAGTTCGTTGAGTCGGCCAAGTTTCGAAGCGACGAAGCCGACTTTCGTGGAATCGTGTTCGGTGAGTGAAACTGAAGAACCAGCTTCGGATGCAATCCACCTTCGGAATGGCGCTAAATAGACGGTAGCCTGGCCTCAGGATGGCGATCGCCGCATGGGCTCCTGATCACCTGAAAGCTGCTGGAAACGAGGGCCCGCTTGAACTAATTTCGGGTGAGGCCTGCAGCTCAGAAAGTCGGGCAAAATGGTCACGCCGTCGGATCTCATGGCCAAACGCGTAGGTTAATGACCGTCCCATGATGACTTTGCTTGTAATCAAACACGGAAACGGACGCGTCAAAAGGCAGTGCGCAGGTTTCGGTGCTCATGTGCCTACGGCTGAAGCTCCGTGGTTGCCGTGGTATATGTTTCACTCAAGGTCCGTTGTGGCCGTGTAGTAGGGACTGATCTGATTGATGATCGTCGGCCACCATATAAACGCGACATTATGGGATACAGTCACACCTTTCATCCCGCGCACTACGCCCATGTCCTCCACTCTGCACGTCCCGGGGAGGGACAACTTGATTCAAGACCTCCCTGGATACACCACACCCGTGTTCGCAGGCAAAAATGCTCAACAG